TTCATTTATACTTATATTTATTTTCATGCATTAATTTATAATACTATTTACATTTTTATACAAATAAAAAGATTTCTATAATATCAAAAATAAAGAAAAAACAACTTATAATATGTTTAGATTGAGGAAAATGTAGATGTAACACCCTAAATCCAACATCGATAAAGACTTGTGAATAAACTTGATATATAGTTATGAAAATCAACCATTATTAATAACTTAAACTTGAACTTTTGACGGCCCATGAACTTTGGTTCAAAGAGTTGTTAGGCTAGTGGCAGATTTCGACCTAGGTTATTTCAAGAAGGTGAACAAACTTGATATATAATTATGAAAATCAACCATTATTAATAACTTAAACTTGAATTTTTGACGGTCCATGAACTTTGGTTCAAAGAGTTGTTAGGCCAATGGCAGATTTCGAACTAGGTTATTTCAAGAAGAGAGGGAAGATTTTTTTGATCAATCAAATTGCAATGTTTTTTAAACATTGCAATTTTATTGGTCAAAAATTTTCCCCTTCCCCTCAACCCAAACATATTATTAATTAAACATTTGAAATGAAAATGAGAAATACTAATATCTTAGAAGGGCACTAACATATATACTCTCCAAAATTACACACTCCGTTACACACTAACTGTTTCCGTTAGTATGCCGTTAAAATTTGACAGAAATCATTAGTTTTAATGGCAAAAATAATAAAAATTGTCAATTTTAATAGTACAAGTAACGGAAACTATCAATTTTAACGGCATACTAATAAAAACCATCAGTATGTAACAGCGTGTGTAACTTTAGAGGGTATATGTATCATTTCCCATCTTAGAAAAGAAGAAGTTATTACTTATTTTTTTTTTCTTCTTCTTCTTTTTGAGAAAAAATGATAAAATTATATTAGTACAACAAAAGAGAGTTCATTAGGGTTGCTCTAGAAAGTGAACTCCTAGTACATAAGTAAGATAAAAAGCAACTACAAGAGATGAACATTTATAAAAAATAACAAAAGGAAAAAAAGGTGTTGTTCCCATCTTGAAAAGTTGATTAGTATACATATGACTATCACTATTGATATGTTGCAATGTTGAATTAGAACAAAATCATCATGAGTTCTCTGCAATTCAAAACATTAAAGATGTTGGCAAACAATAATTGAATAGTATAAATAGAGTCAAATCCAATGTTAATTTTAGAAAATCCCTCGATAACAATAAAGTTGGAAGTTATCCTCTATATTTTAAAGTTTAACACTTACTCTATTAATAATGCCTATATTCCTGACAAACCCCACAATCTAATTGTTATTATGATCTTTGAAGATCCCTCCTCTGCCAATAGGTTTGAAAAAGGTAGCCTCCTCAATATTAATATTTAATAAAATATAGAGAAGGTTTATGTCAATAAATATACCAAGTTACCTATTAAATAAATCATACTAAATAAAAAAAATTGACTAAAATTCAATAATTTTATAAATAATAAGAGAAAGTCACTTAGAATCTTAAAATAAGAAATCTCATAAAACTTGTCATATTTTTGTTACTAAATTTCCTAAATAATGAATGAAAACAAAGCAATCCAAGGAATTTTGACATAAGCACATATCCATGCATTTACCTCTTGTTTGATTTAAGGGAAACAAAGTCCCCTCCACTTGTTTGGATAGGCTAAAATCTAAAATAATAATAATAATAATAATAATAATAATAAATGAAGGAAAAAGCCCTCACTTCTCCTCTCGTTTCCCCTCCAATTTTTTATTATCCAAATAGAGAAGCTTTTCTTTCTTTCCTCTCCCTTAAACCAGAAAAGACATTAGTGCTAACTCTTAATCAACCAATAAAAGAAACAATAGCATTCTCAGTATTTAACACGGATGATTTTGTTCCAAATTCTTAATAAGTATGAATATTTTAATTGTTAGTAAGGAGATATCAGCAATGGTAGTAAAGCCCCACATGATGAAAAGCACTCCCCATCCCCATGGTGTTTTTTTGAAGGAGAAAAAAATCTTCTCTAATTTCAATTTACAGTAATTTATAAAAATTTATCATATGATTTTTTTTCTTTACAATATTAAATAGCAAATATGTTGAGTAGTTAAATTAGACTTGAATTGCATAATGAATATTTGGTTTTGTCATTGCAATGAATGATAAATTAAGTAAATACATTAAAATTTGTTAAAGTGTTGGTTGAACTTAATTTACAATAATTTATAAAAAAAAAATTATTGTATTGTTAGAGGTACATTAAATGGAGTCCCCATGAGAGGAAAGGGAAATTGTCACCTTTAAATAATATATTTGGTTTGAAGGAAATAGATGAAAAAGAACAAATGAGCTTTTCTTTTTTTTTTTTTAGGTGATTCAAATTTCCTAGCTCTTACTTCCACTAAAAACAAATTATTATTGAATTATATAGATCGTTGATAAAAGAAATATGTTTTATAATCAATCAAATTATAACATTTTCAAATATTATAATCTGATTGGTTGACAAAACTTTTTCAAATAAAGCTTCACGGTTTAATTTAATAAATATTTTATAATCACTATTTCAATTTTGACAAATGGTATTAATAAAACTTAGAAAAATAATACAAAAAAAGTGAGGTTATAGCCATACTCTAAATAGTTAATATCACATTATTTTAATGTAATTATCTATGTTACCTTTACATTGCATTTTTTCTCAAATTTTTACATTTTTTTTGTTTCTTATTAATTATTATTAGTTTTAATTACTTAAAAAAAGGAAATGGAAACGTTGCAAGAAATGGCTAAAAAAATAATAATAATTTCATTTTTTTGGGTTAATGCCAACTATCGTCCCTCTACTATCAAAAATAGTTCAATTTAAACCTTCTACTTTCAAGTCGCCTCATATCATCCCTCTACTGTGAATTAACTACATATGTCCTCCCTCTACTATTGGAAATAGTATTGATGTCGTCCCTCCGTCCAAGTTCCGTTCAACTTTCGGTTAACGGACGGTTTGCTGACTGCTA